CAAACTGTCACCCCGGTTTCCCTTCATCTGTCTTCCTCCCTGCCGGTTTTTCTGCCACTGTATTGATCTCATATATGCCGCCTTGTTCTCCCTCATCCTTTACCTGTCACACACCACAAGTCAGTCATGCTTCAAAACCCTCTGAGGAAACATCATTTGGACAAATTAAAGCTACTGTGGCTCCAGTCAGTGGGATCGTAGGTGCCTTTACTGAAATTAAGAAGCCATTTCATGTCATCTGGCTTTAATTATTTAGACTACCCTGCCACCGTGTGGCCTCTGAAACAACTTAGATTTAAATTTGAAATGATCAAGAATAAAACGTCAGAATAAAAATGATGACCAAAAGCTGTGTTCTATCTTGTTTATTTGTTTTTCATTTTTATTTGTTTGTTTGACATGTTTATGTGTATGCATATAGCAACTTACAATGCAGATACAACATTACATTTAGCATCAAGCTGACAATATTCTACATATAAGGAAATGACCAGCCAGATTCTGTTGGAGGTAACAGTGTGGAGATAGAGGGGAGTACAGAAAGAGTGGAAGTGGTGTTGGGGGGGTGGGAGTTAGTGGAGGAGATGCTCTCTGAACAACAACTTGTTTGTTTTTTTAGCTGAGATAAGCTTCGGCCTGATATGTGTCCTTTAATGAAATCGAGTTAGATGGGATACAGCTATTTAACTGATTTTCACCTGGGAACACAAAACTGATGGGACATTTACAAGGGCTGTGAATACAATTCAAGACTCGATGTTTAACCTGAAAGATAACAGAGAGAGAGAGGACATGACAGTAAAATGCTCAGCAGTTCCAAGCCAAATTGATGTTCGGCCAGATGCAGACAAGTGCTCCCTCGACTGGTCAGAATGTGGAACAGGGATTGAAACGGACCTTTGCTTAGGCACAAAAAACTCAGCATACCTCCAGGACACGGACAACTAAATCTCCTGTTGAAAGAAAGCAGCATAAGTGCTGCACAGTTTTAAAATATTTTTCAGTCACTACAAAATATTGTTGATCTGAGTTGAAAGATAATTATTTGCATCTATTTACTTATTTTTTTACACAAATTAAAATACAAAAACGCATTAGATATCACTTTAAATGTTCTTATTGTCTATAGGGTTGAAAGAGTAGTAAATGGAGATATTATTATTACTATTATTGTTTTTGTTGTTTATTGGAAGGTGACTCAGGAAGACTGAGCAATCTAAAGAGGAAATGAGACGCGTGGAACATCTGTTCGTGAGAGGATCTTTGGTGGAGGTTCCCCTTTCCCACAATGCACAGCGACACAGGCTACTTAGTCGTTCTCCTTCCTTCCGGTCGGCCTCTCAGTCCGCTGGAACCATGCAGACTGTGTCAGGACCACATGTTGCCCCACCACCGGTGAGTTTTTTAGGTCCGTGTATAGCTAGAAGTTGCTGTTTTCGGCAGCACGCAGTGTTGGGCTCCGAACCCACACGACGAACAGGGAAGAGTCCAGGAAAAACCGTGTTTCATGCAGCTCATTCGGCCATTTTGAGTTAAAGTGCACAACCGGCGGTAGTATTTTATTTTAACTTTCTGGTGTTGGTTTTAATTTGGGTTCAGTTAACTATATTAGTTAAACTGTGCTCGTGGGCACACCCGCAATCTTTGGCGGCAAGCATGGTGCACGAGGGCTGAACACGTGACCTCAGTAAAACAGCTAAAAACTTAAGCGGTAGCCAGTTTCTCTGTAAATGCAAAGTGGTCATTCTAACAGTTCCTACCAACACCTTAATGGTTCGAGTACATTTAAACGTTAAACTACTTATTTTACAGGCTGATAAAATTTCAAAGGTTTGCATGTAACTGATATCTGAATACATACTGAAGTATTTAAAAGTTAATTCTCACTGTTCCTTTTTTCCTTTTAATGATATTATTCAGGTCGTTGTGATGTCTGGAAACCTGGACCGGGGTGCCATTGACTGAACCTACTTCCGGTTAGAGCTGCAGCTTTAGGAGAAGATGGCTGTTTCCTTCTTGGAGCCAGAACCATGCAGAACAGAGCCAGGAGCTGGGTGACACCCTCAGATGGGGCTCAAGGTATACCACAACTCTAATAATGAACGTGAATCCACTTTGTACTGGTAGCAGTAGATTTTCTTTCAATGCACTCCTGGGGTTTGTCTTTAAATCCCAGATGCTTGGTCTCCAAGTGGTGAAGCAGTTTTGAAGCCTTCATGGCATCGTTGGAGAGCCGGTCCCTGTTTATTAAGCAGAGTGGCCTCGGTCTGTGGGAATCATAGAATTAGGCATGTTCAGATCCGATATTTGGATTGGATCGGCCACCGATAGTTGCAAACAAATGCGTATTGACCAACATGAGAAAACACCGATCCAGTTTCTTTTTTTTTTTTTTAAAGTCTGATTGCACACGAGCGTTAGCATCTCCTAACCCACAGGTCTGTCTCCTAGCCATTAAGTTATCAGAGTAAATTCCTGTTCAACATGAGTCTGACTACTAAGTAAGTAGGCTAAAAAAAACTGGATCGGGACATCCCTGAGTAGAACTCCTGGTATTGTCTGTTAAAAGCTTAATTTTCTTGAAAGTCGTAGGCTCTTTTGTCCCTTCGTTGGGCCTTTTCTCCTCTGAAAAGAAACCCTCCAAAGTTGTTTCTTTTACTCATTTGGCTAAATTTCTGGTGCTTAAGTGACTGAGATGCAATGAAAGAGAATCCGGTCGTTTTTCAAAATAAGAGTTTACAAAATGTATTCAAATTAGCAGAAACCATTGTTACTTGGACAGCCCAGTGCCAATGGATCCACGTGCTGGGATTTGGGGACCACTTTAATGGCTCCCCCCCCCCCTAATGGGGCGCCGCCCCCCCCCCCCCCCCCCCGCCAGCTGGGCGGCTGTGTGCCTGCCTCAGTGTTACAGGGCTGGCAGAGGAAGCCTCTGCCTTTAGCCTCGGCGGTGTGGGGGTCTGTTCTAGGCCCCCCGTCGTCGAGCTGCCGCAGAGCGCGCGGCCCCACGAGAGTGGCCCCCCCGCAAACCCCCGCCGGGGCGGGCCTAGTGCGGGGCCGCACACGGTCAACTCTGCTGACCAGCAGTGGAGGTGAGGTCTGACCGGGGCTTTTGTGTTGCAGGTTGCTCTGCTGCTCCGGGGGCCGATGGGGAACACAGCGGGGGGTGAGTCCTGTCTCTTCTGGAGGGGGGGGGGCTGGCCTCGCTGTGATGATGACATAACACATCATGCTGACAGCCTGATGACACACACACTCTGAGCCGGCCGGCCACAGGCCCCGGCTCACTGACCACTCCCTCGTCCTCACGCCCTCTCTGTCCCGCAGGAGACCGCCCACACCTGCAGGTGAGTCCAGGGGGATCCGCCGGGGGGGGGCAGGAACCAACGACCCAATCGTGTACTGCTGCGGCAGAGGCCCCCCCCTCTGCCTGCAGAATCTTTGCATTGGGAGAGAAACTCAGGACTTGGCACAGGTTTTCCGTACCACTCTACCACGAACCTGACTGAAGACCTGGGACAGCCGTACCCTCGACTGCATGTGGGGGGGGGGCTAACTTTGCTCTGTCTGGGGGGGGTGGTCTAACTGTGCTCTGTCTGGGGGGGTGGTCTAACTCTGCTCTGTCTGGCAGTTGCTGTGGCCCGGGTCTGACCCGCTGGACCGGGGGGAGCTGCAGACCGTCTGAGGGACTGTGACCCAAATGGTTTTACCATGAATAAAATCCTTGGATCAAATGAGAGCTGTTGTCGTCCACTTCTCTGCTCGTGACATTTATGGTGCATGTCGGGTCATCACACTGTGGATCAGTGACCAGCTGATGTCCCATCGGTCATCTCGGTGTATCTGAACGCTGCCGTTAGCTCCTCGGTCATTCGATTAAACCTGGTCCGGCTAATCCCCATGTGCGTTTCGGACCTGGAACCGCTCGTCCAGCTGCAGCTCCGCCGGACGCCTGGAGGCAGAGCACATCTGGGGACCCTGATGGCCGGAGCCGTCCCACCTCAGGGCCGGTGGAGATCTGACTTGATTTCAAATGAGTTCAGAAATATGGACCAAGCTAATGTTGCACACATGTAAAAGTGAATTTGTGTCTGAAAAACAGAGGAAGAACAGAAGCGGCTAATTCTTTAGAAGCTTTGTTTTACGTTTGACTCCTTTTGGTGGGAGGGGGTACTACACCTGTAACGGTTTGAGTCCAGTTCTGAGCCATCGGAGACAATAAATAAAAAAATTCCTTGCCGTTATCCATATGGATGTGTTGACCCCAAAGCAGTGATCTCAGCGGCCCATTCACGAGGCAACGGTTCCTGAACCAGACCCCACCTGATTCTGTTCCTATTTCTGCTGTAGAGAGGGGAAATGTTCCCAGGGTTTCCTCACACTCCTGTCTCATCTGACCCGTATTTATGAATAACACCGGAGGCAGATGCTGTAGTGACCCATGGGCTGACCCCATGAAGGTCTGAGAGTAAGGAGCATTGTCTAATGCAGTGACGGTCGGTTCCCACAGAGGAAGGAGCTAAGCGGTATATTCTTCCCCGTCTTTGGTCCAATGGGAGTAAAAACAGGTCAGATTCAATCCAGTCTCCTCCCCATCACTACCTCTTTTCCCACTCCTTTATCGAGTGGAAACCCACTTTATATAAACCAGGTGAAGCATAATAAGAAGGGACATCACCACCCCTCCAACCACTTTTACAGTCACTTACAGATACGGACATCTTTGTTTTTCATATTTGTTCTTTAAACTGTCCTGTTGCCCTGGGATACCAGGTCAGATTCCTGTGTGCATTTGGCCAATAAAAAGATTTCTGATTCTTATTCCTGATTCTGAGTTTGGCCCAACTGTCTCATGCATAGAGAACCATGAAGGTTCCTCTGGTGCTCTGTAAAAAAGTGCTCAGAGCTTCCATCTGTTGTGATAAAAGCTTAAAAATGGATTTCCAGCTGTGCAAAAATAGCTGACGACCTCTTTAAGCAACATTTAGCACTTTTAGGACGCCAGTATCTGGTCTCCTTTCCTCTCCACGCAGATACACGAATGTCTGTTCCGGTGAAAGCCCTCCACGGTGCGCGTGCGTGCGTGCGCTCAGGCCCGCATACCAAGCCGTGCGTCTGGAGAGTGCTCGGTCAGTTTTCCTGTCAGCAGAACTGCTTTGTTGGCAGGAATATGGACGGATGTTCCCGTCACGAGTTGCAGATCTTCGGCGGAACGCGGAGCGCGCGCACGGGTGCTCTCATCCCCGAATAACCCGGTAGGAAGTTCCGAGGGGGGAAATCAATCCACGGGCTAACGGGGTTTAGTTCCACTTCGGAAAAAGGGGCTCATTTGGGTCCTGAGTAACGTTTTAAACTTTAGCAGAACTTTCGCGGAGGAATGCGCAGTTACGCGGACGGGTTGCGTAAAAAAGGCCCACAGATCACGCTGAGAGGAGTTTACGAATTGTTTGCAGCTTTACATGAAACTGATGTTTGTCTCAGCTTTCTGAGGATGGGCGTCATATTATCTGACGTTTGGTTCATGTCTGCCTAGAAGTGATTGTATAGGGACATCTTCAGCCTCTTTCTAACTCCAAACAGACACAAAATTCAATCAAAACGACTTTTTTTCCCTCTAAAGGGCCAACATGTTGCTGCATTTTATCAGTGTGGTGTATATTTTAACAGTTTGCTTTCTCAACAGCATGTAGCAACCTAAAAAAAAAAGGGAAATGAGGTCTGATTTTGAGGAAATCTACCCAGATGTTGACATCTCCTAAGCTTAGACCTCCTGAGCGATTGCCCCACCTCACACAGCCGGCCGGAGGTCTTTTGTGAGCGGGTCTCCTGTGGTCTTTCAGTCTGTGGGCGAGCGGAGGCCATGGCGCGGTACCTGAGGTACTTCACCACGGTGGGCGACCAGCAGCCGGTCCAGCTGGAGGACGAGGATCTGCACGTGGACAGCGAGGAGCTGGGTCCGGCCACGGGCCAGTACCCGGAAAACCTGAGCTTCAAGGACTCGCTGAAGAGGCTGTACACCTCCGACCGCTTCCAGGTGGGATGAAACACACCGGAGATGCTCTTTGGTGTTCAGGCTGAGGTCGTCAGCAGTGCAACTTTTAAAAGATACCGGCAGAAGTTCTGCGAGGGTCTGTTTAAACTTTCTTAAACAATGTTCTACTTCTTATTGTAAGTTAAGCAGATGCTTTTATCCAAAGCGACTTACACAGTAGACACAATAGAACAGTTATCATAAGTTCTCTAGAGGAAAATCCCTAGTCAGAGTCAGTGTTGACAGCAAAGAGATAGAGGGAAGTACAGAAAGAGTAGTAGAGGGGGTATAGAGGTATGAGGAAGTTAGGATAGGAGATGCTCTTTGAAGAGGTGGGTCTTTAGGAGTTTCCTGAAGATAGACAGTGACGCTACTGGTCTTGTAGCACCTGGTAGGTCATTCCACCATCTTGGAACAACACCTGAAAACAGTCCGGATGGTCTTAAACGATGTGTATCACTGCTAGACCACAATCCATCGATGACTGAAATGACCGAGTTGCGACGTAAGCCTTTGCAAGAGGGTTCAAGTAGACAGGAGCTGTACCCTTAAGCACTTTGTAGGCTAGCATCAGGGACTTGAATTTGATACGGGCAGCCAGGGGTAACCAGTGAAGCTCAGTGAACAGAGGGGGAACGTGAGACTTTTTGGGCTGATGGAAGACCGGACGCGCCGCTGCGTTCTGGATCATTTGTAACGGTTTTACCGACCAGGCTTGGAGACCGGTCAGGAGTCTGTTACAATAGTCAAGGCGGGAGATGACCATAGACTGTATCAGGGGCTGGGTAGCGTGTTGGGTTGGGTATGGTTGGATCTACCAGCTCTTGACTGAGGTCAAACCCCACGTGTCTGTTCCGAGTGCAGGTGGTGGTGGTGTTTCTGGTCATCCTGGACGCTTTCTTTGTGTTGGCGGAGCTGCTCATCGACCTGTCCGTCATCAAGCTAGAACATGGCCACCTTGCTCCGGAGGTGAGTTCAGCTAAGCGCCGCAAAAGCCACCACTCTAAATCCTGCTCACCCTCTAACCAGCCCTGGTTTGTGTTCGGCAGATATTCCACTACCTGAGTTTGGCCCTTCTCACCTTCTTCATGGTAGAACTTTGCGGGAAGCTGTTTGCCTACCAGCTGGAGTTCTTTCAGCACAAGTTCGAGGTGTTCGATGGGTTGGTGGTGGTGGTGTCCTTCGTTCTGGACATCGTCTTCATCTTCCACGAAGATGCCTTCGATGGAATGGGTCTGCTTATCCTGCTGCGACTCTGGAGGGTGGCCAGGATTATTAACGGTCAGTCAACCCGCTGGTCTTTGATGCGCACCACACCACAGCCCTCCGGTCACCCAGCAGAAGGCTGTGCACTGGATTTCACGTTTAAGCGTAGAGGCACGGGGTGTTGTATTTTGAGCGGACTGCCATTCTTCTGCAGGGATCCTGGTGTCGATGAAGGCTCGCGCCGACCGGACAATTCACAAGCTGAAGCTGAGCTACGACCACCTCGTCGTCAGAGTCACGGAGCTGCAGAAGCGCACCGATGAGCTGGTGAATGCTTCAACTTTTCTCTGGCCACTCAGAAGAAGACATTACAGCCTAAAAATCCCAAAGTGCTCCAGAATAGAGGGGTTAAAAACCACTGGTAAAAATAAAGTTAGGGATTCAAAACAACACCAGCAGGAATATCATTTAAATATATATATTAAAAAATAAGGGTGGATTATATTACTATTAGCGGAATGGTGGTGGTCAGCACCATCGGCTCACAGCAAGAAGGTTCTGGGTTCAAGTCCCCGGGGGAACCAGGACCGTCTCCGGGTTCTCCGGCTTCCTCCCACAGTCCAAAAACCAGCATGTTAGGTTGATTGGACATTTAAATATGCCCGTAGGAGTGAATGTAAGTGTGTGTGTGGTTGTTGGTCCTTGTGTGTCTCTGTGTGGCCCTGTGATGGACCGGTGGACTGTCCAGGGTGTACCTCGCCTCTTGTCCATTGACTACTGGGATAGGCTGTAGTCCCCGCGTGACCCCTATAGGGGAATAAGCGGTTATGAAACTGGATGGATGGATATTACTATTCCCACTTTTATCAGGATCTGAACCGCAGGCTTCTGGGTGTCCTGTGAAGCTGTGGACTACATTATTAGGAAATTTAGCTAATTCATAAAGGAGCGAACTGCTGTTCAAATATGAATGTTGGGCCATCAGTATTAAAAGATGCTGCCCAGGACTTTGAATGTCGGGTGAGGGTGGAGTAAAGTAAAGCACGGCCCATAGCTCACTGTTGCACTACCTCAAGGGTTTGTGTTCATGTCCTAAGGCTGGATACTTCCTGCGTAACCACGGACACCGTGTGAAAGCATTCGTGGGTCCGTCTGGACAGACCAAATATGGTAGAGAAGTGATTGCTGTTTCTTTGGTTTCCAGTGGGCAGGAGATGCCACGTCACTGCAGCGTGTTGTGATGAAAATGTGAGGTTTAAAAAGTGGAAACTTCTGTCCGTTACTGACACAGAATGAGGAACTAAAGCCGTTCGGGGGATTGAGTTTGACAGTCACAAAGCGAGCAGAAAAAGCCGACTGGGACCACCTCCATGGAGTCTCACTATGACTAAAAATTAGGAAAAGCTGTTTATCAGGATGAAGTCAAGAGCTGTCCTCTATCCTCATCCATTCTCTGGATGAACTGGATTTAACCTGCTCTGTAGTGTTTTACAGCTTGAGTCTCCACCTTAAACACATCGGCTTTCATATGCACGACTAGGCATACACGGGGAATTCTAGGTAGAATCTACATATCAGATTCCTGCGTTGTTGTAAAGCCCCAGCATGCGGCTGTGGTTTGTTGAACTGACTCTCCTCTCTGTCTGTCCGTCTCTCTCTTTTAGACGCAGGAGAACGAGAAACTGCGAGCCCTCCTGACCAAACACAACATCGAGCTCTAATGCACGCGGATAGCCAGAGCTAGCCTCTTCAGCCTGTACATACCAGCGAAATGCCTGATCCTAGCGGCACCTGTATGCGTTGTAATGCCTTCACCACACGGGGCATCTTTTCCTGAACATATACGGGTCTAGTTGGATGTCACCAATGATTGGTTTCATTATTGTTACCGCAAATATACCAAGCCTCATGGAAACTGCTAACCTCTTATGAATGTATATTTTGATCAGTCTGATATATAGAGTTCATTTATTTTGTATTGACACATTCAAATAAAACATTTCAAATATAAATAATAAAAAAATGTCATTTATTTACAAGTTGACCCTAAAAGTCTTCTATACAGTAGTCACACAATGACAGTAAGTGCTCATTCAAATGCTCCCAGCTTCTGAAGAAAGCCTGGACTGCTCAGACAAAAGGGAAGAAAAAGTCAAAGGGCAGTTTGGCATCGATGGTGGGAGTGGCTCTGTATCCTTTCCGGGCCGCCGCCGCCGTGGCCGTGAACGCCACGGAGCTTCTAATGGGCAGGACGCCACTACCGCCGGTCAGCAGGACCTGCCAGCCAACGCACACAGACGACAATAACCACACCGTTACCGACGTTACAACGTTCATTTTAGATATCTTAAAATGAACTTTCGAGGAGAAAAACATGACTGGAGATAAGAAAAGTGCAATAATAAATAAAGGTCTACTGAACATCTAAAGAAGGACTTCAAAGTACATGGTGTAGGAATTATTCCCATCTAAATGGGTATTGCAGCTACGGTAGCTGTCATGCATCAAGAAGTAATGACAACATGACTTCAACATCATCCAGTTTTCTCTGGGTGATGAGGTTTGTAATTTAAAGGAAATTTCAAACTGCGTTTAATTACGCCTCTCACTTCTTATAGCTGGTTACAGTCAGGTGACTCTGGATCTGAAGGAAAACGCGTTTTAGCTAGACGGGTAACCTAGTGCTTTATGTCCCTCTCTGCCATTCTAGTTTTTCAAAATGGCGGAACGCCATGGAAACCTCCGTGGACTTACCCGTCCTGTGTATGTACAGATAGGAAATTATTTGCTTAAGAGGTGTAGTCAGATCATTACAGTGGTCATTTTACACCAAATGAGGACACATTTATAAATGAAGGAAATGATTTTAGCAAGGAAAATTCTTAAAATACTAAACAATGTCCCTTTAACGAAAGGAGAGTGTTTTCAGTAAATGCTAAAAGAGTTGGACCTAAAGATGGCACATTTCAGTGACAGTGACCTGTAGGTAAGCCGAGATTCTTTTCTTTACTCTCTTCTAACTGGACCTTTTCATGAACATGTCCTGCTGTAGAAGATGCCTAAAGCCCTGTTCTGCTTCTGAGCAAACGGACAACACATTTTGAGAGGTACTTCTACAGCTCCAAGTAGACCATGTTGGGTTCTTACCAAATCGCTGGTGTTGGTGGTGATTACTTCCTCGATGCTTACAATTTGAGCCTGGGGGTTAACAAGGGAGCCATATTTGGTCCATTCAATCTCAAAATGGAGGGACACCGGGATGTTGCAACTTTGTGGATCCTGCAAATGACAAACGCGATGTCTGACATTAGCATTTCTGTTAATGAAACCGGACTCAAATCTTACACGACTGCGCTTGTAAATTTAAAATAAAATGACCAGGACAGAATATCTTAGCACCTCAACTCTGAGCAAACCTTCTCATTTCTTCTGGTGCCCACAGATAAGAGGAACGTCTCGCCTCTTTTGGTATCGGAAAGTTCTGCTTCATTGTACACTTACCAATGGATTGAGGTTTCTTTTAATGGGCACCCAGTCCAGTTGACTCTCTAGTGGAGAGTTTCCGAAGGAGGCCACGTACTGGGGGAGGTTCTGTCCTCTCAGACTGTCCAGGACTAACTGGGACACGGTGGAGCAGTTAGTTACTTCTTCCAGCCTGCGGGGGACAAGACGGTCACACCAGCACAAAAACATTTAGACCCGACGACTAGCGCCCGCTCCCGGGTCGGGGTGGTGTTTGTTTGGAAGGTTAGCGTGCCTTAACGTGCACCCGGACACAAAGTCCAGGCCGAACAGGACGGGGGCGCGCTGGTGTGGAGCCCGCAGACAGTCCTGGTGCTCAGAGCTGTGGAGCAGAGACAGAGTGTCTCTGGGGCTGGTGCTTCTGGTTATCCCCGTGGGAGACCCAGTCAAAGACAAACACACTTTGGATGGGAGTTTGGGGTTAGTAATGCATCGTTTTAATCAAAAGTTTAACATCTCATGTACTGATTTAGTCTTTTTCTTTAAATTGAATTAAAAAAAAAAGCTGACTCTCAAGGCTGAATTTTTTAAAACTCTGATTTGACTCCATTGAAATCTTTGTATCATTCTTTGTCTGACCTCCTCCCAGAGACCATTTTCCCATGGGATACCCGACCATTGACTAATGGCCATGACCAAGCAGCCCCAGGGTGATGGGGACACTCAAGCCTCACCACCATGTTAAGGTGGTGCTTTTATAGAGGGACATTTTCTATGAAGTCTCTACTCACTCATGTGTAATTAAAAGTGGATTGTGTATCTGAAAAGAGCAAAACGGTTGCAACAGCTTTCTTTTTTCATATGCAAGAATATTCTTATTTTAGCTAAGAAAACATTCTCCATGAGTAACTGTATGAGTGAGAAAGCCTCCTGTCTGCATGAGAAGGATATCCCGTGGTTCTTGTTGCGGACACGATGGGCAGCCCGACCACGTAACCCGGGTTTCCGCTGCGATGGACGGCCATGTCTCCTCCGTCCTCCTTTCAACAGACACAAGCCGTAAAGCATTACTCCGATTGCTCAGATTCTAAGCACTATTTCACTTCTTACATTTCTTTTGTGTGTGTTTGTGTGGATATTTTAATTCAGCCACATTTAAGCCTCGACAATACAATGAAATCAGATCTAAACCAACAAATAAGCGGAAAGAACCAATATATTGCCTTGTGAAATTCATCAAAATCTTTTTTGAAACAGTTCAGAAACCCATCCCAAATGGGAATCAGAAATAAAGGTCTTTCTAACATGGGCGTTGTTTGTTCGTTTTGGCTTTTTGTTCAGCATTTTTGGTGAACACTAAATGGAGAAATCCCATCCCATATGTTACATAACCTTGTTAAAACCTTGTCAGTCAGCCATTCGGGGAGAAGTCACTACGTGATCTGTGACAATCAGACATTTTATTCAGTATTCAGAAGTACAGGACTGAGTTGCTCCCACTCTTCAGTCTGGCTGAGCCTCCTGCTTGGACCAGTCAGACCGAACAGGAACTAACTACCTCTTTTGGACAAAAAAAGCCCCTTGCTGACACGTGCTGTCATTTATTAAAACAGGTAAAACTATTTAGCTGTACACAAAATTCCCTTTGTGGCACATACATCTGAGAGCAGGAAATACAACTGGCTGTATTACCTGGACAAACGTGATGTGGAACTCCTGCTCCAGCAGCGTGGCAGCTCGCTGGACAAACCCCAGCACCAGAGACACCGTAGCCTTCACCACCTCACCCGCTGGGCTGTACGTTATCACGTACATAACCTGAGGAAACAAATGTTTTCAACCGGCTCAGGAGACAGGATTTATAGCAATAATCTCGAAAAGCCTTTTGGGCTTTTTAAATGTGAATAAATCAGAATGCAGAAATGTAAAATTCTCACTAAAGACATGAACTTGTTAATTCCACTTGTATAATGTCTGGTACACATGGATTCTGAATTCTTCTGCACCTTTTGCATCATTTAATGGTAAAAACCTTGCTAGAACCCTGTTGGACACAGTCAGATATACCTAATAGCAGAGGACAGACGACTACACCACAAAGATTTGGACTTATCACACTAAGTAAAAATAGCTAATTAATAGCTAATTATGAATATTCAAAATTGATTCATTTTAATGTTTTTAAAAGGGCAAAATAAAGACTTTAAACAACAAAGACATTTTCTCTATTCTTTCATGGATCAGGCTTTAAAAGGGTTAAACGCTGAAAGTTAAGCTTTTTCTATATTTCCTGGTAATTAAAAACATCTCGTCTTAGACAAGCTGCCGTAAATTTGGGAGAGGAATGATCTATTCCAGCCTGATAGGATTCTAGCTACTTAAGCTGGAGAAAGGTCTGGACTGCAGACAGGCTGTCAGAAAAGAGAAGGAATGAGATGTAACCCCGCTTTAAATCTGATGTCTTTTTGGTCTCAAACAGAAATTGGTTCTTCACAGCTCAGTGTGTTTGGATCACGTACTTTGGAAGATTTGAGCACAGAGATTGTTGGGATCTGTGGGATTCCAGATCTTTGTTGTGACAAATGGACATCGTGTGTTCCAAGACTCTTTATCTTAAAAACCAAACTCCCCTTAACATGATGCAAACAGGTTCAAGCTAAGCTTTGGAATGTTTTTCTAAGGGAGCAACTTTGAATATTCTCACATGGACATTTTTTTTATTTAAAAGAAGCATCAAACAGGGATTTCTTCTCCATTGCTGACTCACCTTCAGCACCACATTGGCACAGAGGCTGGGGCTGAGGAGGACCGGGCTGAAGGAGTCCCCGTCGCTGACTGGGGGCCTGGTCTGAGTGCCCTCTGTGGACTGGAGGATGACTGAGGCCTCCACATCGACAACCTGGAGTAAAAAATGAAGGGTGCAGCCATTCATCCCTTTGTGCACAAAGCCTTTATGTGAGAATGATTTTAAAACTGTTACAAATGGAGTTTGCTGTGTTTGAGGGCCATATAGTTTAAGAATGCTGATGAAGGATGGAAATATTTCAGCTACTTATCCAATCTAGTACATTGTCAACGTCCCGTTTAAGGAGCTGTTGCTGCTTATTTTCAGTCTTGGCTTGGAAAAACAACAACTCTCCACTGAAATTCTGCCAGTTGACTTCTAAGGTTGCAGAGGATGGTTCAGAAAACATTTGAGGAGGAATACTTACTTCTGCATCTGAGTTCTTCCCCTGTTGAGAAAAAAAGATTTGCTTTAATATTCTTAACTTCAGATCATTGAAGATTAAATTTAACGTCTTTTTTAAAGGACCAGTGAGCAGGATTGAACATCATATAATGCAACTGTTGAGGTCAGCCGCTAACAATCTTAAAAAACAGAGTCAGCCATTGAAGTTTGTTTTTGTCTCAATGGTCCCAGAACAGGAAGTTCACAGTTTCCAGTAAAAAACAGCCGGCATAACACAGCAGCTCCATCAGCTATGGGTTAATTTAGGCTGACCACATTCCAATCCGGTCACACCACCGAAATCACACACACAGGCCCAAGAGGACGGCTCACAAAAGGTAAAAAACCTGAGGGTGAGTACACCCAGTAACAGCAACAGTAACTGGAATGGGACATATAATTTCATCCTCTGTCTCAGAGAAGATAACAAGTCGACACCGAGGGGCCAACTGGAACTTTGGGTGTCCTCCCTTTGCTCGGGAGGGTAAGGACTTGTGAGACTCACGTTGAACAGCTTGATGTTGGAGTAGGTGTGCTTGTTGAGAGCCGGCAGGAGGGCGCAGTCCCGACTCAGGACCACCCGCCGGGTACACCGGCTGCTCTGCTCCTTTAGGAATGCTGTGAATGATCCCAGGACAACAACTCAGTTATCGAAACCACGTAGCAGAAAATAAGCTAACTGCCTTTAGCTCCTCCTCTTTGACGGTGTTGAAAGCGTTTTCAAAAGTCTGAGACGCGTGTCGTAAGAATTCAGATTACACATGGTTCCCCTCTTGTTTGACTGACAAGAGAACGTCAGATGTAACTTCAGGTGTTTTTATTCCCAGAGTTACCTGCAGGACTGCTGTCCACACACTCTGAGGTGACGCCGGGTGCTGGCAGATAGAGCGTCTGTGTCTCCCCGTCTGCTCCAGCGGTCAGCATCACATCCCCATACTGAAACGGCACATCGTCAGTACATATGCGCCACTCACAAATATGGTAACAAATGTCCAGCATATTCTACCCAGACAATACAAATGAGTGGCTGATTTGTCTCCAACATTCTTATGTCAGTGCCATACAGAGATGTCAGTAAAAACATAATTGATGATGGTGAGAATCAGTGTTATCGTTTATCCTTTCTGGAAACCTCTCCAGGTAAAGTTCTGTTGAGTCTTTTTAAAACACGTAACTTTATCAAATCATAATGTTGACTACTATGAAGAAAGTATTTAGCAAGCTTTTACCTGTTTAGATAATTCAATTAAAGGACTCATTACATTTGTGAGTTTTTTCTTTTAAACCGCTAACAGTAATATTAATTAAACTTACTTAAATGAGACATACCTGGTATCCGCGTGAGGCCTGGTCCTCTGCTGGAAGCACCTGGTAGCTGTTTGTTGAACCAAATATAAAACCGACAAATTGCTTAAACAGCAACTCAAAGTTGGTCTCAGTTGGAAGAGCGGGTGGAGGATGAGACAATCCGTCTACACCTGCGACGAACAGAGAGAAGCTAAGGCGAGTAGTCTTTAAAAATCCATACCGACAGCTCTGTGGCTGCAAAATCCAATCCAGTGGTAACTAACACTAGTCTCGTAAATGTAAGTGTACGTGAGTGCCTCTAACGGCTTAAAAATAAAATAATAATAATACATTTTATTTTCAAAAAGCGCCTTTCATGCCACTCCAGGACACTTTACAAAGACAATCATCATCATTAAAACAACATTGAAAAATAAGAAAATATACAAAGTCATAAATACATCATAAATAAAAACATCATCAATGAATGAAATAAAACGGAATGAATAAAAATGAGGGGAATGTTAGAGTTAGGGGTAGTGAGGTGGGTAAGAAATTTTTAACAGGTGGGTTTTGAGTATTGTTTTGAAAAGAGGGAGAGAGTCGGTATTTCGGATGTCAGATGGCAGAGAGTTCCAGAATCGGGGAGCGGAGTGACTGAAGACTTTGCCCCCCCTGGTAATGAGGTTAGGGTTAGGGTAAGGGGTTAAGGTTGCCCTTTGGCTTTGAAGGTGTATAGAAGGATTTTGAATTGGATTCTTAGGGTGACAGGGAGCCAGTGCAGTTGCTGTAGGATGGGGGTGACATGGTTGGAAGAAGGGCTTTTTTGTTTATGTTTTTGGACCATCTGAAGCTTATGGAGAGCCTTGTGAGGGAGGCCGAAGAGAAGGCCTTACGGTTGAGCTTCTGAATGCAGAAGACGTCTGGGTTCGTCTCCTTCAGCACGGATGACCGCAGCTCCGAGTAGCCGTCCACCGTGGTCCTCAGACTGTAGCGGGCCACGTCGTAGCTGCACAGCTGCTTGCTGCCACTGCAGAGAGAGGAGAGATGAAGAAGGGGCTGATCCTCAGTGAGCGGGGGGGCATACTCCAGGTGTCTCCCTGTGGACGGCGGTACCTGCCTCACAGCGGAGACGGAGCAGGCGGTGAACAGAGCCACCTCCTCCTGGCAATCGCTGTCACAGCAACAGCCGACGTCACACACACCCCTCTCCTCATCACAGGGACACAGCTTGTCCACTAACACACACATATAAACACACATACACACCAAAATCAGGTTAGAATCTCAGTCAATTTCTCCCTGGAGATCAATAAAGTATATTCAATTCAATTCAATTCAATTTATACCCAACAGCTGGGACTGTTTCCAGATTTGGAGCTTTTCTCCAGCCCAGTCTGACCGATTGTGTGATGCAAAATGTCAAATGTGATGTTTTAGTATGCGATTTGTTCTGTTGTGTACAGTCACCGTGTTTTGTGTAAAAGCCTAACTGGGGACAGGCATTGAGAATTAGCCTCAGCTAAAATGTTGTAGTGTGTGACATGTTTCGTGAAACATACTTGTCCCTATCAAATAAACGAATAAACAAAATAAATAAATAAAGTCAATAAAGCTGACAAATTATGGGACGGCTCCTGTCCAACTCTGGACAGGACACAGCCAAAGCTGGAGGATGAATAAGTCACCCAAAAACTCTGCGTACATGAAGTAGTTATGAGCAAAAACAATAGTAATGATAAATACAAATGACTGGGAGCCAACCGGACGCTACAAACCGAAAAGGTTCGGCCTACGGCGGCGGCTCACCGTCGGTCACCGCGGTGAGGACGCGGCCGGAGACGGGCAGGGGCTCGCCGGGTACGACGGGCTCCTCCGTGCCGCTGTAGCCCACCGTCGGAGTGGACGACTCGAACACGGCAGGCTCCGTGGTGGTAAAACCCTCCGTGGCGTTGGGTATAAAAGCCTCGGTCGAGTTAAAGTCCCACCTTGTTCCATTTTCGTCTGAACGGACTAAAATAAGAAATAGAAATGAAGAGAGGAGGGCTAAACTGGAGCCCGCTGGAGCAGAGGAGAGCGCCATCTTTGTTTGACCGTTGCTATGGTTCTTCTTCGCGTGTTCTGCTTCTAATGCAGATCCACACCCGAAGTGGAATGTCAGCGCCCCCTACTGTCATTGAATGCTATCTATCTATCTATCTATCTATCTATCTATCTATCTATCTATCTA